AACATTTTTGTGGGAGTTCAACAACGCTCGTTCTTGGTTGCTAAATGTCGAAATGTGATGTTTTTTTTCACGATTAAGGATTGGCATTTGTGTATTCACAAGTACATTAACCCTCACGCTAATGTGTCAGTGTTTGCATTTTAGTCTCCAGGGTTTTGTTATCAACCAAAGTTCCATAGATATCTCTCTCCCCTGATGGGTAGATTTACCCGGGCGTTCTGTATAACTCTCTTTGCGTGTTTCCAAGTTTGACGCGCATGTCTAACTAAAGAAAAAGCTGTCGTGCGGCTGCAAAATTGCGTGGCAAGGTGGTGGCAGTGGTGACACTTGTGCCTCACACAAATAACGGCTCAATACCAGTGCCGGATTATCTTAGTAGCAAAAGTAGCATACGGTACGGGCCCTGCACTTTCAAGGGCCCCGCGCTTTCAAGGGCCCCACGCTAAATGCTTTCAAGCTATCAATTCCGGTTCAGTGATTCTGCACTCGCTCTATTACTATAGTACTATACTGTTTTCAACTTGTATGAACGACTGGGTGTTTAAGGTTAGCGATTTGTCGCATTATCTGGCTGTATACCAAATATAAAAAATACAATTACTTTACTATGCAAGTAAAACATTTGCGTTTTAATATTTGTGGGGTGTTTTTTATTTAGGGCCCCTTCATAACATGCTACAGGCCCCGCATTAGCTTAATCCGTCACTCTTCAATACCTAACTCCTGACTTTGGACCATGCGTGAAGTTTGTATGTTCTCCCATTAGTCTGTTTGGATTTTTGCTCAGTTCTCTGGTATCCTTGGTATAGCTAAACACACATTGTCATTGGTGTTCGTGAAACATTCCAATGCAGGAGCCTCCTAAAAAAATTCGGACTCATTGTGGCTTTCCAGCATAAAAAAAAAATTATCATTAAGATGGAGAACATCAGATTGTACAACCTAAATATATCAGTGTCTTTCATTGTCATTCTATGACCATTGCGGGAGTAAACACGAGCAGCCACACTCATTTATCCTTCAGCCACCTCCTCCTGAATGAAAGAATCAACATATATGAATAAATAACAGCGGTCAAATGTATTCTTTCCACAGTGGAATAAGCCTCATTAGCCTCTTGGCCTTAGTTAATTTTAAAAACAAATTTTGGCTCAATTAGCAAAAAATTGCAAAGACCTTTTGGACATCGCAAGCCTGAATGTTGAGTCAACTTCAATGCATGGTTTAAATTTGCATCCCCCTCGCAGAGTTTAGTCTCCCGACACGGCAGTTGGAAACAATGAGCAGATTTCTTAAATCTCCCCACCTCTGCCCACCCAGAAGTACAAAAATGGGTCCATTACAGCTATCGGCATGCGCGCGTGGTGGGGTAACATGTGGTTTCTCCCACGTCTACCAAAGACATCTGGGCAGCGTGGAAGAGTAGGCCAAACACCCTGCAGAAAAGGACATTTTGCCAGCAAAAGCATGAGAAAGTAAATGCAGGGCCACACCTGTACCTTTGTTTTTAATTCTGCTTATTCATATTTCACATCCGTCCACCAAAGTCAAATGTCCTTCCAGTGGCAAGCACTTTCCAGCATTCGCAGGTTGCCTACTGCAAGATCTTGCACAGTGTAGGGGCCTTCTGTTTATAAGATACGATTCACTAAAGATTACTGATACATTTTATGCTAATCTATATATATATAAAAAATGTGGAGTGACATCGCTGGATGTCACCATGTTGTTGGTGCAGTACCGGCCCTAGAGGGGCACGGCGTGCGTGGAGTGACATCGCTGGATGGCACCATGCTGTAAGTGCAGTGCCAGCCCGAGAGGGCACGACGTGTGTGTGCCGACCTAAGAGAGAGGTCCGGTAAAGCCATGGAACTCTGGTTGACCCGGGAGGACAGGGGGGCTAGGAGGGTCACGTAATTGGAACCCAGGTTCTTCCCGATGGTTCTGGAAAGGGCGTGTGGCCAAGGGCGGAGCCGGACCACGCCGCAGAGAATATAAGCCGAGTCCCGAGAGGGATCGGGGTTGTCCGTCCCGGGGAAGAAACCCTTCGTCTACGATCTCCATTCTACGAGTCTCGCAGCACGTGGACCCGGGCAGTATGTTGTTGGTCCCGGGTCCGTATTAAATAGTTACTCAAGTAACCAGTGTAGTTTGCCATGGTGATCACCACCCTAGGTCATTGTGTTGTTAAGGGTGAAATCACCCCATTGTGTTGGAACTAAATAAATGCGCTGCCTCCAAGTCTAAGAGTGGGAATTCTGCCTCTTTATTTGCACTTTATTTGATTGACAGACGAAGGTTATTTTTTAAACATTTTTTTTCAACATTAGCTCGTACCTGCCAATTTAGTGGGGGGAGGGGGGGGTAAGGATTTGTCAATAGATATAAATGTGGTTTGATGGAGTGCTTGGCTAAAGCCCGCGGCTGTAAGGAGGCATCTGGTGAAAGAATTGGGATGAAATTCCCCTGCCCTTTGCAACCAGGGCCCCACAACATCGTTAGTTTAACGAGTAACACATGGGTATTTTATCCGTCCTGTTCTATTTTTAAACATCACCTACACTCCCCATCCACTTTCCCGTATCCCGCCCTATGCCAACTGCTAATTCTCCATTGTTTTAGTTGTTGCCGTATATTCATATGAAAGGAGCTGCAATGTTTATGACACGAGCAGATAAATGACAGGTCTGGTACAAGTCGATCTCTGCCATTTGAAGTTTGCATTAGTTAGGATTGTTTTGCTTTCGCATTAGCATCTGTTGTATCACACCATTTGTTTTTCGAACTGTGCTGCTCAGTATTCTTTCCTGCATTTAACCCTCACTGCAACGAGCAACAATGTCATTTTTTTTCTTCCCCAAGCCACACATGTGGACTTCCCAGTTTTACCACACAATTCACTTACAATAGAAAAAAAAATCTCATTGAACTACAAGTTCCATCACTCGTTCGTTAGCTCGGACTCAACTGCAGGTTAATTCATTGTTTAGCACGTGTTTGGAATTCACAAGGTTAAATTGATAGACAATTATCGCCATGGAGAGAAGCAGATGAGACTTGCCAGGCAATTTAGCTGATCTCATACTCCGTTTATAGTTGCATTGTGCGAGAGGTATGTACGGCCCATGCGTACGTGTGGCGCACCTGTGTGCGTCACCTACCTGCACACATGCGTGTTTGTGTGGTTACGTGAGCGTGCAGGTGTGTGCGCGTGCGATTTGAGCGGTAGTGTAGTGTGTGGTTAGCGCGCTGCGCTAATGAACCCAGGCGATATAATTACGATTCCCGTTCACGGCCAACACCAGTGAGGATTATCTGAACCGGTCCTGGGCTTCCCCTAGGTCGACTCAGCCTGAAATGAGTACCGAGTGCGGTGTGTAAACTATGCCACTGGAGAGACAAAGGCCGTAGGACGTGGTGCTGACCACCCACCCCCTCGTGTTCCGTGCCGTGCTGGCCTTCATAGGTGCTCGCTAACAGCATTTGCCCCAAAAGTATTAAATTAAGAAAAATAAGAATAGATTTTACCATTTTTGGCAATAAAACAGGTATTAAGATGTTCAAACACCAAATAGATATATTTTGCAAGGAATCAAGTCTGCATTAACCAAACGTACGTATGGTGAGCATGCAAACAAACATGCTCTGAGAATATATATACATTGTCTCTGAAACTGATTGACCTAACCAGTGGCAGCCTTCTTTATAGGATAGTCTCACCAGGGTCCGGCCAGAGAATGCCAAAAGTATGCTAGAGGCTATACGGGGATCTGTCTTCGTTGTAGTGATCAGCGTGCTATGTTACGATCCTGATAACCTGGATTCGACTCCCGCTCATGGCCAACATCATTTGCGAAAATATATTAATCTGTTCTGGGTCTCCTGTAGCTCGACTCAGCCTTAAATTCGTTTATCGTGGGGTGTATAAAAAAAGTCAGCACTGCGAAGACAGCAGTAGCCAGCCAGGCGTGATGATGATAGTCATACCAATGCCTTTCTAACTACTTGGCTCCATCTGCCCCTGTATTTACGAAACTCAATATCACGTCCATCTCCATCTACAACATTAATTTCCTCCAAATATGCACCTTAAACTATAAATACACGTACCTCCAAGACATCATACCGAAACCCTTCAAAGTGTTCTTCGAGGTTAATTCCCAAATCAATGCGTACAGCACAAGACACTCCGATAACTTCACCCTCCCCACTGCCGCACCACACAAAGGGTCAATTCTCTATCAGATACGGAGGTTCCGTACTCTGGAATTCCTGTCTTCACGTTGCCAAAATATCATCATCCCTCAATAACTTCAAGCATAGACTACGGGTCAGCCTTATGAGCCAACTACCCAGTAGTCTCCTCCATGTAGCCTAACATTCGCACATACATATGCACACATAAAACACGTGTTTTTTAGAACACTGAGTTTAACACGTTGAATTGTAATTCGTATGCTTTGTTTAATTGGTTGAACAATCTGTTTTGTATATACAATGTCCTTTTTTTCGCTGTGGTTTTCATATAAGCCCTCTTGGGTTTCCAACCTCACCTGCACCACATTTTTACTTATTTTTTTGTTATTTGCGCTGTTTGACTTTTCCTTTTTTTTTAGTTCGAACAAAGAATAAAAATGATTGTTTTTAAATGCCTCCGACGTCGTCACGGCCTGCATAGGTGCTCGCCAACAGCGCTGAACCACGGCAGTCTGAAATGCCATGCGGAGGCGTACCTTGGTGGGACACCTGTCTCTGGATATCACTGCATTCGCCAGTGTCAAAGATCGCCCACATCGCCTGTTGTAAGGCTTCATGGTGGGGAGGGAGGGGGATCTTCGTCTTTGAGTGCTTGTATGTGAGTGAGTGCTCGTGTGAGTGTGATTTGCAAAGGGCAAGGGTGATAATTGTGGTTAACTGCGACGCTCAGCCCCGTTGGTTGGAATGCTGCCAAGGCAATGTATTAACCCCGACCCCACCCCCTGTTTCTTTTTTCCCCCCAGTGTGCGCCAGAGGAGCGAATGAGAGCGAGCGAGTGGAAGATGGCAAGGACGAGGGGGGGGGTGACTGCAGCCCAGCCTTGTCCTCAAGCACTATACCAAGCCAGACAGAATCGACTAAAAACCAGGAATGCACTGTAACTTTATAAGGTTTTTTTTTTAATTTCCACCACCAGCTTGTGCAGCTTTACAGCAAGGACAGGAATTGGCAAACCACCGTCATTCACGGCATGTTCGTCGTGATTCTCACCCTATTCAATCATAGTCTATCCACTGCTGAATGAACGCTTCTCCAAGCCGTCACCATCTATGACTGTTTCGCGAGGACACAATCCCTCTATAATCTTAGCTCTTTCGGTAAAGTCACGTTGAAGGGAAACAATAAAATAATAAAATATATATAACAATAAAAAATTCTCACGACGTTTCGACCATAATACAAACGGTCGTCATCAGGTGTGTCGGTTTGCATAAATTTATTTTTAAACGGTGTATTTATTTATTAAAAAAACTTCAGCGCCACGCGCAGCGATTTGGCAGTTTATTTAGAAGGACTAGTCCATCTATGTTCTGAAAAGAGGAGGGGGGAGACGAAAAATTTATGTATGCTGTCTGAAAGCCACTGTAAGCGTGAACAATCAATTAAGACCTGAAATGGTGTATCAAATCTTTCCAATGATTGCTAAGCCAGAATCCATCTTCTCGGTTTAAATTGTCTCTGTGCTTGTATATGTGGATAGCCTCATGAACGAATCTCTCATGGTAGCCAGATGGCTTACAAAGAACCTCTGTCTTGGAAAAGTCAATGTCATGTGAGCCTACTGAATTATAACAATGATCTGCCACGGCCGAGGTGTTGGTCCTACCGTGTTTAAGGTCTGCTTTGTGTTCACGAATGCGGTCCGAGACATGGCGTTTGGTTTCTCCAATGTAACTACTACCACAGAGGCAACTTAATTTGTAGACACCAGGGTACTGTATGTCCGGAATCACATCTTTTACAGACGGAACCAGATCACGGATTTTATGTAATGTGTTGAAACGGACCTGGATCTTGTGTTTATTCAAGATTTTGGAGATCTTTTTTGTGATCCCCGCAATGTAGGGTAAAGTGATGGTTTTGAAAGGCTCCTCAAGAGGGTCCTTCATGGTTTGAGTGATAGCTTTGCGGATTGTATAGTCGGAGTAACCATTAGCCTTAAGAGCTTGGTGTATGTGCTTGAGTTCACTGCCTATGTGTTCCTGGTCAGATATGCATTGGGCTCTATGATACAGAGTCTTGATGAGATAATTCTTCTGTGATGGATGGTGGTGGGAATCCGGTTTCAGATAAGCATCCGTATGGGTAGCTTTCCTGTAGACAGAGTGGCTCATTGAACCATCAGGTCTCTTTTTAATTAGGACATCCAAAAAAAGGTAGCTTGCCATCTTTTTCGACTTCCATGGTAAATCTGATGGCTGGGTGTATGGAATTGATGTGGTCGAAGAATTGGTCTAGAGCAGGCCGGCCATGTGGCCAGATGACAAAAGTGTCATCCACGTACCTCTTGCATAAGGTTGGGCGCAGAGTGGCAGTCTGGATGGCGTCAGTCTCAAATTTCTCCATGAAAATGTTAGCTATAACCGGAGATAGGGGGGAGCCCATTGGGGTGCCCTCAGTTTGTTTGTAGAAAGTTCCATTCCAAGTGAAGTATGTATTGGTTAAACAGTGTCTCACCAGGGGGGGTACCTCAGTGTTTAGTCCTTGATGAACCAAGTCTTCAATGATTGCGAAGGTGTCAGGTACAGGAACCTTGGTGAATAAGGAAACTACATCAAAACTGACAAGCAGGTCATCTGGGGACAGGGAAATACCCTTGATTGTCGATACCAGGTGAGTAGAATTTTATACCGCAGAGGTGGTTTTTCCAGTGAAAGGACGCAGGATTTCAGACAAAAAACGAGCCAGTTTGTAGGTGGGGGAGTTGATAGTAGAGACGATGGGACGAAGGGGTGTATCTACTTTATGTATTTTTGGTAAGCCATATAATCTTGGTGGCCTGGCAGCAGAAGGTTTCAACGAAAACTGTTTAGATTGATCAATTAATGCGGTTGAATCAGAAATTATTTTGTTGGTTTGTGTGACGAGGCTGTTGGTGGGATTTCTTTATTTTTGTATAACTACCATCGTCGAGTAATTCTTTAATTTTGTTTTTGTATTCTATTTTATCATGATGACAGTAGCATTGCCCTTGTCAGCTGAGAGGACTACAATATCATCCCTCTTTTTAAATTTATATAATTCAAAACGCTCATTTTTGCTGAGGTTGCTAGCTGGCATATTAGCGCTTTTGAGGGTTGCAGCGATTTCAGATCTTGCTACGTCTGCAGCGATGTGACCCAGGCCCCTGAGAGCAACGTCTACTTGGGCAATTATATCATTAACTGGTATGTGTTTAGGTGTGACTGCAAAGTTTAGACCTTTAGCTAAAACGGATTTCAGACCATCGGAAATAGAACTGTTACTGCGATTAATTACGACTTTGTTAACGTCTAACTTTTTGGTGTGTGGGTCCGGTCTTTTGTTGAAGAGGAGGTTAAATTTGGAAATCAGGTCCTTACATTTGGTCGACATAGTAGCAGCTGAAGAGGCAGTCATATTGTCTACATGTTCCCAATCCGATGTGGACATTGTTGCCGTCAATGATAAGTGTGATTTGTAGAGTGTCTTGTCTAACTGATCTAGTTCGGTGCGTATAAGTCTGATTTTTTCTGAGATAAGAGCTAAGCTAGTTTTGAAAAGAATTCGTTTCGCATTAGAAGAAGTTACAGCAGCAGAGGTCAGTGTAAATGTGATTGGTATTACCCCAGAGTCGCGGCATCTCTTCAGAAAGGTGAGAGACTCGATCAGCTGAGCCTTCTTATCCCGGAGTTTGTTGAAGGATCTTAAAGTTATGTGAAAACCCTTCCCGTAGAGGCGGTTAAATTTTGATTTAAAGCTTTCGTGACTGCAGTAATTCATATTCTGAGCTCTTTCGGTAAAGTCACGTTGAAGGGAAACAATAAAATAATAAAATATATAAAACAATAAAAATTCTCACGACGTTTCGACCATAACACAAACGGTCGTCATCAGGTGTGTCGGTTTGCATAAATGTATGTATTTTTAGCGGTCTATTTATTTATTTATTTAGAAAAAACGTCAGCACCACGCGCAGCGATTTGACAGTTAATTTAGAAGGACTAGTCCATCTATGTTCTGAAAAGAGGAGGGGGGAGACGAAAAATTAATGTATGCTGTCTGAAAGCCACTGTAAGCGTGAACAATCAATTAAGACCTGAAATGGTTTATCAAATCTTTCCAATGATTGCTAAGCCAGAATCCATCTTCTCGGTTGAAATTGTCTCTGTGCTTGTATATGTGGATAGCCTCATGAACGAATCTCTCATGGTAGCCAGATGGCTTACAAAGAACCTCTGTCTTGGAAAAGTCAATGTCATGTGAGCCTACTGAATTATAACAATGATCTGCCACGGCCGAGGTGTTGGTCCTACCGTGTTTAAGGTCTGCTTTGTGTTCACGAATGCGGTCCGAGACATGGCGTTTGGTTTCTCCAATGTAACTACTACCACAGAGGCAACTTAGTTTGTAGACACCAGGGTACTGTATGTCCGGAATCACATCTTTTACAGACGGAACCAGATCACGGATTTTATGTAATGTGTTGAAACGGACCTGGATCTTGTGTTTATTCAAGATTTTGGAGATCTTTTTTGTGATCCCCGCAATGTAGGGTAAAGTGATGGTTTTGAAAGGCTCCTCAAGAGGGTCCTTCTTCATGGTTTGAGTGATAGCTTTGCGGATTGTATAGTCGGAGTAACCATTAGCCTTAAGAGCTTGGTGTACGTGCTTGAGTTCACTGCCTATGTGTTCCTGGTCGGATATGCATTGGGCTCTATGATACAGTCTTGATGAGATAATTCTTCTGTGATGGATGGTGGTGGGAATCCGGTTTCAGATAAGCATCCGTATGGGTAGCTTTCCTGTAGACAGAGTGGCTCATTGAACCATCAGGTCTCTTTTTAATTAGGACATCCAAAAAAGGTAGCTTGCCATCTTTTTCGACTTCCATAGTAAATCTGATGGCTGGGTGTATGGAATTGATGTGGTCGAAGAATTGGTCTAGAGCAGGCCGGCCATGTGGCCAGATGACAAAAGTGTCATCCACGTACCTCTTCCACAAGGTTGAGCGCAGAGTGGCAGTCTGGATGGCGTCAGTCTCAAATTTCTCCATGAAAATGTTAGCTATGACCGGAGATTGTTCACGCTTACAGTGGCTTTCAGACAGCATACATAAATTTTTCGTCTCCCCCCTCCTCTTTTCAGAACATAGATGGACTAGTCCTTCTAAATAAACTGCGAAATCGCTGCGCGTGGCGCTGGCGTTTTTTTTTATAAATAAATAAATACAGCGTTTACAAATAAATAAATGTATGCAAACCGACACACCTGATGACAAATGGTCGAAACGTCGTGAGAATTTTTTTTGTTTTATATATATTTTATTGTTTCCCTTCAACGTGACTTTACCGAAAGAGCTAAGAATATGAATTACTGCAGTCACGAAAGCTTTAAATCAAAATTTAAAATACAATCCCTCTAGTGCAGTGTTCTTTATTGCAAGGCCCGTGGGCTACATGTGACCCCCCCCCCCCCCCCCCATAATCATCGTGTTTTCAAACCCCCAATGGTTTCAAATGCGTGGCGGCCCTCACACTGATGATGTCTTATCGGCGAAAGTGACCCCCCTCTCGTGCCTGCCCAAAAGATGATTTCATCCCTGCATCGACGCCCCGGGCATCCTTTCGGGCACGTTCCCTCCTTTGACTGCCACCCTGTTGTTAGTCTCGACCACCGGCCACCCATCGTCCCTTCTGGTGAAGTGTCGTGCCCAATGGCCGGTGCCCACTCACAAATTTATTAACAGTCCATGCGGTGTCTCTGACTTGCGTACAGTATATGTTCTCTGATCCATGTTCGGGCAGGCACAAACACTGCCAACTGGGTGAATAATCCGGAGTAAGAAATGAACGCATCGTAAATTGCAAAACGTATAAATAAACGCGCTTTAGTCAAATCGCCGCACATCCGTGAACAAAGTGGGAATTTACGAGAAG